CTCCATCGAATAGCATACCAAATAGTGTTCTTATTTATGTTTATATTTAGTAAACCATTTATGTATAATATTCAATATAATGAAAATAATAGGTCCCAGAACCGTCCCTTATGAGTAGGGATGAGAAGTTATAGGAGCTAAAATAGACAAAATATGCATGCAAATATGCAAGGAAAAATTATAATATATGCATAAAAAATTTAAAAATATGCAAAAAATATATTATAATATGCAATTTTTTCCATAAATAAAAACATGTTTAAAATAAATTAATATAAATAATATTCCATTAAATTTGTTTCTATTAAAATATAAATAATTTTTGAACGAACATACGATTGTACAACAACGGTTGTCACTAGACTAATTGAATTAAAATAACGTAAAGACGTCAAACACTCACATATTATATTGATATTGATATATCTATAAACGATTAGATTATACAACAACGGTTGTCACTAGTCAGACTAATTGAGTAATAAACGATTAGATAAGATACTAATCCTAGATTTACTTTTATATACCTACCTACTATTAAATGTTACAATTCTACAATTTTCAAATTTGTTATCTGCATTTTTATTTTATTGATTATTGCAGACTACGAACACATACAATTCTATAAAATAATAAATTTTTCATGTCAGTTGTATTAAATTCCACATAATTTTACTAAATATGCATTTTTATGCACAAAAAAACATGAATATGCAACTTTTAAGAAAACTACCAATATATGCAAAAATATGCAAAATTTAAATACCAAATTTCGATTCATTAGGTTATAAAACAGATTTTTAGCTCACCTAGCTATAAATAGAAGATACAGAAAAAAATATGCAAATCCTATAACTTCTCATCCCTACTTATGAGGTACTTATAATGACGTAGTAAAAGAAATATTAACTCTAACTATACTTGCTTTCTATTTATTAGATATGAACTTAACAGTTCATTTATTTCTCCTCTCAAACCACAATAATTTAAGTTTTTTAGAAGAATTCCATGATTTATAAAATCAAAGGATTTTTTTATATCTAAGAAGATACCTAGAACTATATTACTGTTATCTGTAGGTTCGTATGTATAAATATATTTATTGAGAATAATACATCATTAGTAAGCCAGCTTGTTATAAAGCCAAATTGAGTTTTAGAAAAAAATTCTTACAATTTAAAAATTACATTATTCTATATTTTAGGCATTTTTCGAATATTAAATAAACATATTCTATTTATTAGATATTGATTAAGATTTTTCTATAAGTCGATAGTTAAAACAATTTGTGGGGTTACCAGATCATGTATTGGGACAACTATATAACTTTTACAGCATGACGGGTAAATACCCAAAGAGATTGAGGGTAATGATAGTCGTAGCAACAATTAAATATTTTCCAAACCGGGTGCCAATAGGAAAATATACTATATAGTATGCATACAAATAAATAAAATATATGTATTAGGCTTCAGTATTTTCGTAAATTTTAAAGTACAAAATATATAAGCTAAAAATTTGAACTTTTTCGTCTTTTATAGGCATCGTTTTTTCGAAAAGTATTGTCAGATTTGGAAACTAACTGTTTACATAATTTTAAAGTTATTAAACCAACCTATTTTTTTCTTTCCTTCATACTTAAGCATGTTAATGTTTTTATTTTGTGTACTTTATAGAAATAATTATAACTTACTAATTTACTAAATTTAAATTCTTAGAACAAAATTCTGCTTAGGAGTATGAAATTAAAATGTTAAAAAATCAAAAAAATCTTCAAATTTTGATTGACTACAAATGTCTGATGTTATGGGGCCTTCACTGTTACTAGTGCACATGGGGGCTTTTAATTTTAAGCTAAGAACTAGATAATATTATGGTATAACCAAGTCAATAGTTTAAAATTAAATCACCATTCACCCAGAAGCAGTTAAGGTCCTATATCACATGGTATTTGCCAGACACTCTCTACCCCCCTCGCCATGACGATGCCAGTCCATTATATCTAGTCCATGGTACAGACCAGGATTCAAAATAGTCTAATAGTTATCTTAGGAGGACTTGATACCCGCATTCGTTGTCTTCGTCTTACAAATGTACAACATAGCAAAAAACTGTTATGCGCTGATAGAACCACTCCCTCGGTATTTATAGTAGAATTACCAAAATTCGACAACGCATAGGGAACAACTTTATTTGTGTCGTAGCGTTTTTATTATTTGGTTAATATATAATAAAATTAATTAAAATTAAACTTATCAGTTTGAGAACATTAGGATTTTTTTTTTGTTTTTTTCATTTAACTATTAAAAATGTTTGGTATATGCTATAGAAAAATAAAAACTCTACGACACAGATAAAGTTGTTTCCTATGCGTTGTGGAATTTCAGTAATTCTATTATAAATACCAAGGGAGTGGTTCTATCCCGCGAAAAACAGTTTTTCTACGTTGTACATTTGTAAGACGGAGACAACTCATACGGGTATTACGTCCTCTTAAGCTGTGCTTCTGACTTTTTTTTTCGTATGGACTATGTCCGAGAGTAGACCCAGAGGCCTAGTTCGGACACCTATTTAGCAGAATTTCTATTTGGGCACTAGAAGGTGAGTAGGTATGTCCGGTTGGGGTATGGCAGCCTCGCCGTCTTGACAGTTGCCTGCCCAGAGAGCGATGCCGCCCGTGGCCGGGATTCGAACCGGCGAAGGTGCGCGTTGCAACCGACGTCGTAGTTCACTCAGCCACTCCGTTCTCCTTTTGACTAATGGCTAATGAGTAATAATTAATAACAATAGAAAATTATAATAGAAATCGGTATCGTCCGCCCAAGGACACTGGAATGGAGAATTTATTGCTATAGTAATATTATGTTTTTTTTGAGCTTTTTTTCTGTGGATATAATGTACCCATACACCCAGTGTATTTTCCGAGATTTGTACGATCGGAACTGGGCTGCAACTTAATTACCTACATAACATGCCACCGTCAATGCCACGCACTAGTGAACCACAGTGTAGTCTATAATATTATAATATAAACAGCCGTCATTATAAATTATAATATAATAATTTATTTTAATGACTAATGAGTTATACTTACTGCAGGTACACAACAGGTGGATGTGTATATTATTGTATAATATAGGCGATCGCCATATTATTATGTCAACACATTATCAAATACACAATTGTAATATTATTAGCAATATGTGCAATCCTTAAATACGACTTTATGGAGATCAAGGCTGGCTGTTTATTTGTCCATCTCAAACTAGCACGTCCGGTACATTATTGCACCTACACGTAATGAATGAGCGAGCGAAGAACAAATGCAAATCCAGTCACAGCAACATCACGTCAGGTCTTCTCGGTCGTCTTCTCGATGTCGTAAGAATTATTATTATTCCAAACTCGCTTAATCGTGTTATCTGGCCCCGAACTATTGTTTAACGTTTTATATACTTAGGTAATATTACAATCATTTGAGGCGCTATTAATAAGTCGGGTTTCTATACGACCGAGCACCGTGTCCCGTTACACGATTTTACAAATTAAATACAATATTCTGGTGTATCGCATAATAATATAATATTAACCATTAGTACCTTACCATTTATAATAACCACACTGTGTAAAGTTTGATACAACCCAATGATTATCATCTTTGGTATCATTGCAGGTACACACATTATACAGATTACGAAAAATTTAAACAAGGTAATAATATATGGTATCAAACAAATGTTTCGGAAAATTAGTTGGGCCACAATTATACACTGGGCATGTTGTATGGTTCAACCCGGTTCTATCCATTTACCCTAATACACTGTAACTGCAGTATTTCATGTAACCGTGTTTAAAATTATCTTTTTATTCACCAACTTAAATAATACTGTTTAGGTATAGGGTAAAAATTATATTGAATTTATGGCAGCACAAAAATATACAATATTAGCTGCCTAGGCTCCCCAAAATAATAAACATATAAAATACTATTTAATATCATGACATTATTCCCTTATGACAAATGTATAATATAATTTTAAAGCTATTTGAGCCCTTGTAAAATATCACAATTAAATAAACAAACAATATAACGTATGGATTACTCACAAAATAATATCTGTATGAAGCTCAAGCTGGCTGGCTGTTCTAGTTATATCATAATTCTACACACAAACTACAAAAATAAAAATATAAGGTAAATACTAAATTCAGACCACAACAATTTTCGAGATGAATATGAATACCTGTACAAGATATATAGGTACAAAATTTTTTTACTCGGATAAAATTGCAAAACATTTATTGAACACTATATTATTATGAATAGTACTGATCGTATTGTAAAAATAACATTGAGATAGAATTATTTTTTTAGTGTCACTCGTTAGATAAAAAACAATTATTGTTCGTCCAAATTTAAGATGAGCAATCAATAAACCAATTAAAAAAAATCAAATGTAGTTTTTTTTAGGGTTACAGTTATCAAAACCTATTAGGTACGTGCCAATAATGAATTAAATAGGTAATAGCGGTATACGAATGCAATTCATTGTTTCGTAAATAAATAGTTACATAATATTATTATAGATTAACAACCCTATGAATATGTGTACTATAGTGTATTTACATATATATATAATATAATATATATCTAGTAAATATAGTTTTTAAAAAAAAATGTGGTGTTATCTTAATCATAATGTCACAGATAATTCATGACAACTAAACACACAAGAATTCCCAACGTTGATTTTTCTTTAAAAAGATTTATCGAAAAGCCTCCCGATTTCCAAAATCATCACTCTCTATATAATGTAAACGAAAATCTTTATTACTAAGTTTTAACTGTCTGTATCCAATTATTCGTAAATAATAAATTAATTGATAACACAGAAATGAAATAATGAAAAAAGCAGTCTCATTGTACCACTAATATGACTCTTTCTGTCACAATGGTAATCTTTTTTTGGACAGTCATAATTGTCAACAAAGTTCATATTTTAATTATAATCCTTCAATGATAAGGGACATTGAACTTTAGAAGTACTTCCATCTTTGTCTTTCCTGTTGACAGATAGTTTGTCATCTGGTGAGTGAAGAGAAGATAAAATATGAAATGCTTTTCCATCTTTGCATTTATAAAAAGAAAATCCCCTTATTGCTTGTTGCCCAATTGGCTCTTTGCAGTTAGTTGTCTCTTGTAATTGGAAGACATTTTCGATTCGATCTAACAGTTCCACATGCATATATTTTTTTAGTTGATTGTTTATTAAAAAGTATATTACTTGAACAAAAATTGTCCATATACGACATGATTTTTATTTTCCAAGTACTACCCTAACTCCAAGACCAGCTTCAACTGTCCCTTCTTTTTTACCTGTATACATTTCAAATTTTTAAACTGTACCGAGAACTATCATATAACATACATACCTTGTAACCCCCTTTTACTGGCTTATCTTACATATTATACTGCTTCAGTAAGTTTCGACCCTTGAATTTTACTATAACTTATTAGCTTCATCAACAGTGACATCCCAGAGAGGTCTATATGAATTTAAAAAGTTTTGACCAATATAATCCAATAATAGTCGAATTTGATATAGTTCGTCATAGTTGGCTTCCCCTCGTTTCGGTTGAAGTTTATTATCATATTATTTTACATTTTCATTGTACTTTATATAGGTACATCACTTAAAAATGTTCTTAGTCGCCACCCTCTTAACAAGAGGTGGATCTGAAGCTACCTAATGGCCATGGTATAGAAATACATAATCATGTGTTTTATATTTACAATAACAATATGATGCACATAATATGCACAATGAAAAATTATATTTTCAACAATATTTTATTTTTTGTAATAGGTTATATTATGAGCATTTTAAAATATTGATAAATTGCTTCAAATCTAAAATATCAAAAAATCCAGTTTGGGCTCTGGATACTTTTGTTATCTTTATATAATAGATAGTTATTCTGTATTCAATTCACTATGAAATAATGTCCTAAATAATAAATTAAAACCCATTCTTCTGAGCGTAAACTTTGCTGTGTTACAGCCAAAGACAACATACTATTTGGTTCTTCCTCTCAAAAGATGTAAAATAACTCCATAGATATATAATAATATATAATATATATTGTAATAATAGACAATAGCATATAATAATATATAAAATACATATATAATAATACATAATTATACTGCATACATATATTATGTGTATCTGGTCTCACATAAATTGTTAAGACAAAATAGTTCACGCTACAACTATTCGAAGGGACAACATTATTTGAATACCACAATTATTCGTGCACAATTTGTTGTGCAAGTAGATTTTAGTAGTTAGTTCCACGATATATATATAATTATAATCAATCGATAGTTTGATTAGTATATGTTACTTTAATCTTTTATTTTTAAATTCCGAGAACGAGCTTTAAACTAAATTTATTATAATCGTCATTATGAAAATAGACTAAGGATAAAGGTATATAAACCTATTAACTTAGGCAGAAGTATATAATTGCTCATGCTTAATAGTATTGTTTTACCATTAAATTAATAATAATAATGTTCAAATTCAATCGTAACTACCTATTATTGAGAAACTACTAAATGCACATGTAAACCAATTATAATTAGTATGATAACCAAAATTAATACAAAGCATAGATCATATTTCTAAGAGATCCAGCACTAATGTCTCAGCGACATCAGGTGGACTCTTTGAATTAATGACTGTTGCATGTGTCACAAAGGTACGATTGTCTATCACCATAGAAATAATAAAAATAAAAAAAAAAAACCTATTTTAGTTTCAAATTCTAATTCAAATACAATAGATTTCGCCAGTATGAAGTTTTAAGTTTTAAAATTAATATGTTTTAAGTTTGATAATATTCTGAATGAACGATGAATGTATTGATTTTACAATGATGATGTGTTTTTTTTTTAATTGTTATTTTTATTATTCTAACAGAATAAAAATAAAAATTTATTTCATAACCGACATGCGCGTCATAGGCAAAGAACACTCGATCGGGTAAGAAGCACACAGCCGACGCTGAGATAACTCAATAGAATAAAATAATTAGGGGGAGGGGAAAGCACGTATTCCGATTTGTTGTAATAATATGACGAAGAAAGGGAAAATAATTATTTATATTAATATACGGCATAATCATAACATGCGTGAGTATAATAAACAGCTTTAACGATGAAACTGGGCTTGAAACCGATTGAAAAGATTCGGTTTTAGTTTTAATTTTGTAAACGGGTTTTTAATTTCAATTTTTCAATACTGCTATTAGGAAATTTTGATTTTGGTTTCGATTTGTATACTAGTCTCCAATTTTTTTCGGGTTTTTGTTTTAAATATCCTATTACCGGTTTCCAATTTTTTCCTGATTTCGTTTTTTGATTTTCGTTTTCGGTTTGAGTTTTTAAACGGTATATACCAGTTTATAAAACCGGTTTCAAGGCCTGGTTTATTAGTATATTAATTTTTTTTGAATCAATGGATCGCGCATTCAAGTCGTCTTTTGTGTAAGAGTAAACTTTCCCAAAATGTTCAAGATACAAAGATTTTCAAAAAAAAAAAAAAAACAGTTTTTTTTTTCTAAACACATTATTTCGGTTTTTAAGTTCTGTGTTACCAGTTTCCAAATTTTCTTCGGTTTCGGTTTTAGATTATAATTACCGCTGTATCCAATTTCTTTGGTTTCGGTTTGATTTTTTTTTTCGTTTTCGGTATTTTTAACGGTTATACTGGTTTCTAAATCGGGGTTTGAAACCTGTCTTAAGCCCTGACTGAAACGGGAAAAAGATAATAAAGGTATAACGATAATGACGTAAGAGCGATCAGGGGAGACCGGGAGGGCCACAGGGTAGAACATTTTGGATTAGAGAAAAGGAAGATTTTAATTTATATTTGAATATTATCTTCACATCATCGTTACATGTTTCATTATTTTGTTAGATTATTAGTATACACATTTTTAAACGACAAAAAATCATGAAAAAAATAATATAACAAATATTAAAAATGTTGGTTATAATTTTAATTTTGTATCTAGAAATCTGTTTGAACACATGTATAGTTATTTACAAAAATGGATATTAGGTAAAGTATATTTCATCAATGGGTACTTACAATGTGTATAGAATTTAAGACTTATAATACTGCACATTATTAAATAGGTATAGGGGTATCTAAAAAAATTATTTTGTGTTGAATAATAAACCATGCCAAATGTAAATTTATTTTCTAATTGACTTTAATAAGTTAGGTACTGTTTTAACATAAAAGTATATATAAAAGAAAATTTTAATAATTTTTTATTATGTATTATATGGTCACTATTTAAAAAAAAAAAGTGGGTAAGTGGATATGATGTACAGTAGGTTACAATTGGATCAATGTATAACGGATTGTATTAAGCTTGAATTCCTGATATATATCATAGTATAAGAAAAACGATTCTGAGCAGAGACAGTTTGTCAGTCTGGATATTGTATTATTTATTATATCCTGTAAGTTGAATTTATATTATAATAGGTATTATTATTTTTTGTTAGTTTCTATGGTGATAAACTGAAAATGAAATAAAAATCCCATTTTTAGCAGTTTTTCGTATTTTGTCGGTGGTTTTTCCTATGCAATTAAATAAGTATTGAGAAAATCGAAAAATGACCTTTCTAAAGTACCATTTTGATCTAATTTGCTAAAAGATAAGGTACTTTATGTTGAAATCAAAGCACTCCTTCTGGTAGTTATTTTGTATACAGGATATAAAATAAATAAATAAATAAATAAACACCATTGTAAAAGCAATAGCTTCCTCCCTCCACTCAGAATCTAAAATATAGTGTTGATAGTGGTATAAAATATAAATAATATATAAATGTGAAAAAATTAAAAACTTACATTTTTCAAGCAATACATAATTTCACAATTTTGAAAATAGTTATTATGTTTCGAAATACCTAATGAGTCTCCTTTGATAAGAGAATCGCCCTTGTATATTATTGTATTTAACAAAACTTTGTTGGTATAAGAGGAAACTTGGTGCAGTGAGCCGCACATTAGTAGTCTGAGTACTTACAACTTTTCCAAAACCGTTTCCTAGAAATATCGTTTGTTATAATATTTTGCAGTATATATTATATCATTGTTGTAAGTACATGAACTGTGAGCTGCTATACGCTTAACAGTATATAGGTATTTAACCTTTAATAATATACTGTCTATAGGCTATAAGTTATGTTTGAAACTTTCGATGAGGGGAAACTTTACATTAGCTAAACAGCGCTTTACTTATAGGTATTACAAGTGTGAATAACAAGGGCACATAAATAAGCGAACATTGGAATATTAAACAAGACGGTACAATCACCACCTCCGCAACCCCCTCCATACCACGTGCAGCCGACTATACTCAATGAGTTCATGCGAGAAAAATATTGTTTTCTCATCTTTGTTTATAATAATATAAGCCTGTGATAATTAATATTTCGAAGTGAAATTAAACCCCAGTGTATTGATTTAGCAAAAACAGTGGTTTAACTCCGCAACAAATAATAAGCTCCTCGTTGTCGGTGAGAAATGTTAACTGTAAAATAATTATTCAATAAATCAAAATATAATTTAGTAAAGCCGCTAAGGTGGAAATAATCGAGTGGTATGAATATGGTATAATGTAGTAGTTGAGTCGCCATAATATACTAATTTCAAAAAGTGATGACTGATAACTAATAATAATTTATAAACCATAATATTATGCATTTGTAAATACGAAAATAAAATTCAAATGAAATCATATATTGTGTTTTTCGCAATAATTATTTTCCAACCGGTAGCGACAAAATCTAATGATAATTTTTTCAATTTAAATAAAATTCATAAAAATTATTAATGTGTTTACATAATATAGTTTCAACGAATTTAAAGAATAAAATATTCTTCCCATTTTATTCAACAAAAACCATAATCATATTTTTGTGTATTATATTCAAAGTAAACCACACAAATTGCAGCTACACAGTTGTAATGTACCTGTAGGTACTATATTTTGAAGGTTTAATCGGTGCCCGTGCCCGGACAATTAGTCTTTGCAAATTATTTTTCACCAAGTCCAATTATTGCAACTTATTATAGTCCACCGGAAATAGGTGTCCTACACGGCAGTGTCTACTGGGTACTTAATGTATTTATCTACATTTTTATCTACGCCAAAATGA